CAATACCCCTGTGCACCTAAAGACAAGATATAACTGCACCCCACTCTAATTATATACTTTATCTGTTTATTTAATGTCATTAAATGTCATTGACCAGCGTGGTTAGCTCAGCTGGTTAGAGCATGGTGCTAATAACGCCAACGTCACATGTTCAATCCCTGCTCACTGCAGGGGGGTTGGGCTCGATGATCTCTCAAGGTCCCTTCCAACCCAAAGCATTCTATGATTCTATGATTATAGGACTTTCAATATTTATTCAAGATCTCAAGGAGTTTTATTTGTCACTGCTTCAAATTATTATTTGTCTCTGTGCATCCTGTTTTCCTCTGAATTGTATAACTATATCTTTCTGTTATTGTTTGTTTCTACCAAAACTTATTCATGAATAAACTGCTTATGTTATAATTAGAACATGCACTTTTGTTTTCACCCTAATTCTTGCAAGCTAACTGTTCCAAATTCTTATTCTTGTGAGCTGTCCTGCCTTTTCACCTATTTTAATTCTGAACAGGGTTTACTGGCCCTCTATGAAAATACCTCTGAAAGTTACTTCTTTGTGTAGTTTTTGTAATGACTGTATTTTCCTGGGATCCTTTCAATACTACATCACAGGGTATTGCATATTTTGTCAATGAGGTATCGCTCTAACTCAACACTTCGGTTTCTTATTCTCTGAAGCTAGTATGAGGAATATACATGGAGAAGCAAATATGGAATACATATAAATAAAAACAAATATCTTTGTTTTTTTTCCCAATATCTGATTGTGTTGGATAGCCTTGGAGATTTTTGCTTTGTTTTTAAAATCAACTGCATAATGATGTCTCTCAAATATTTTGATTTCTAACACACTGTGGTATCAAAGCTCTGTATGTGCAGTATCCTTTCATGTCATCATTTTTTACTGTCTCTAGCTAGTATTTCTTTAAGTCTGGGGGATCTGAGAGAACCTGGCAGGTACCGTAATATTTCAGTTGTCCTGTTCTCCGCAGCCTCTCCACAGCTTTACAGATTAGGAACTTCTTATGGACCCTTCAAAGATAAGTTTGTGCATTCATTGTATTCAAGTTGGTCCTTTAGGACCCAGCATTCCACATGTGGCCTCACCAGTGCTGTGCAGAGGGGAAGGGGCACCTCCCTCAGCTTTCTGCCAACACTCTTCCTCACGCAGTGCAGGGTGCAGTTGGCCTTCTTTATCACACAGGCACACCGCTGGCCCGTGTTCAACTTGCATCCACCAGGACCTCTGTGTCCCTTTTTTGAAAAGCTGCTCTCACACCAATTGGCCCTGCATGTGTACTGGTGCATGGGATTATTCCTCTCCAGGTGCTGGACTCTGCATTTCCTATTAAAGAACTCCACAAGGTTCCTGTTCACCCATTTCTCCAGCTTGTCGAGGTCCCTCTGGATGGCAGGATGACCCTCTGGTGTATCAGCCATTACTCCAGTTTTGTGTCATTTGCAAATTGTCTAAGAGTGCACTCTGTCCCATCAACCAGGTCATTAATGAAAAGATTAAACGGTATTGCATCCAGTATCAGCCCCCAGGGGTACTCCACGAGTGACTGGCCTCCAGCTGCACTTTGGGCTGCTGTTCACAACCCTTTGAGCCTGCCATTTAAGACAATTTTCAGTCCACTTCACCGTTCATTTATCTAGCCCATACTTCAATGTGTCTCATTCTTACATGAGTTTCTCTCAATCTTCCTTAATTCTTAGCAGCTAGGGAGGTTATTTGGGAATCTGAATCACTTCCGATCATTGTGTGCTATCATTACAAAGAATTCTAATTGACAGATCCTATACCAGTGCTTAAAATAGGTCAGCCTTAACTTTTTCCACTCCCAAAGGAATAGCCATTCACTATGATTGTATTTCTTCTTTCTAAATCAGTCTTTCATCTGTTATAAAACTCTGTGCACTTGCTCTGTATTCTTCTATTTCCATTACTGTTATCAAAGACTTGGTCAAAAGCCTTTAATAGAGCTAAGCAAATTGTATCTCCTTCCTCTTTCAAATACTCTTTTATAAACTTTTTCAAAGAACTCAAACAAGCTAATGAAATGTGAATAATTCTATGTGAAACTGTGTTTTAGAATCCTATTACCATCAATCTGTAGTCCTCCCCCCTGCCCCAAACATAGTCTGTAGATCCTTCAATATAAAATACGGTATTATTTTATCATCTTTCTTATTCCCTAATACCACAAGGAGTTTTCAGGAAGTACTAGTACTGAAACAGTCAAAGCAACAGTGCCCTGGACACCAAAATCCCACTCTTCCTCACTGTATCCTGCTGTTAAAGAACAGCGCATGTTAAAGAAAAAATGCATTGCCTCATCTGTTCTTATGGCGATGAAATTTGGTGCGCTTTAGGAAGTATCTGTGTAAACAGAAAAAAACACTGATCATTACATCAACATCACTCCCACAGAGGAAAGTGGTGGAACTTCCACTGATTTCAGAGGGGACATTTGATCAATGCAGAGTATATATCACATACCGAGACTAAAAGTGGAAGTAAATGTCTTATGAAAGGTTCAGAAACAACAAGGCTGAAGCATGAGGATATCATGCATTTGAGGGTAGAAATACATTGATTCTATATTTCTTTTGCATAAAATAAGCACAGTTACAAATAGCTGGCCAAAGGATGATCAGTAGAGACTCAGTTCTGTCAGTGAAGTGTAATGTAAAGTCAAGAGAGGAAAACACTGCAAGAAACTAACTATAACCATAACATTATTTCAGCAGAGCACCTCCTACTGTTGAAGCAGGACAATCTTTCTGGGTCTTGAAGATTCTGCTATGTTCCTGGTTAAGCAAATAGTGTCAGAAGCTACAAATGCCTTCTACCATGTCAGATGAACTTGAAGACTGCCACTCTCACAGCTGAAGTAACATTTTGTTCATAGCCTTCCACCTATTTTTCAGCTTTAGTCTTAGTTCTGCAATTCCTTGTGCATGGACTAGAAAGTGAATGCCATAAAAGGCTGTAGGTATGGGATAGATAGTACTTAACATACGAGTTTTGGCCTTGATGCGTATACACAACATATGCTCCTTCTTCCATCGTAGATCCAATCACTGATTTCACAATGGATTTGGAAGAGTACAGCAGTGTCGGAATTTTCAAATTACTGTAGGTAAGAAAATGGCCAAGGAAGTGGACACAAGGAAAGGTTGCCTGTCATTTAGGCTGCCTGTCAGTGTGCCTGCCATCCATCTCTTGTTCGCTGCTTCTCTTCCTTTTTTCATAACCGAATTGTTTTTCATACTGACATTATAGATTTACTTGTCTTTCGAACCCCAACTTTAACAGTAAGAAAGGCAATGCAAGGGAGAAAAAAATAAAAGATCTCTGCTTTCCTGTAACAAGTTGAACCTGGAATGGAAAATTCTAAGCAGGCTGTCTTAAAAAAAAAATGGCATTTCATCCTCATTATTCATTCTATTCTCTTTTAGTTATAAATATAACCCGTCTCCATTCTCCATATCACTCTCTCAGCATGGTACGTGTACTACCACTCATTTGACTATGTGAAATAAATAATGTGTAGAAAGCTACATTTAAGTTTAATGCTACTGAGATTTATTTCTGCAAAATAATTACATCTGGATGGCTTCCCAAAAAGACTAGTGACTACTTCTTTTTTCAGTAGGTCCCAATGTGGCTTTTAAATCTTAATTCAAATTAACACTTACTATGCACCTGCTTATGATTAGGCTTAAACTATATTTTATTTCATGCTGCACTCAAATAACACATTATATATGAAGACACTGTCAAGCATGCTGAAGTGTCAGTGGTTACCTTTTTTAAAGGGATAACCATAAAACTCTAGATTCTACTATTTACAATAGAAATTTACTTAGTTCAAAATGTCAATTTAGTTGCAAAAGCAGGTACAGTAATAAGAAACAATTTGTTGTTCTTATAAAATATGTATGTGCTGTTAATTTTGTAGCATGTGCTAGTGATGTAGCAGCAGAACAGAATCCATTTTAACCCAGAGATGAAACACCTGAAAGCAGAGGGGGCTCAATAATGTCAGTGGCACCTGTTACAGATAAAACCTGTACTGTGTCATCTGGCAATGACAGAATACACCAAAAAAAAGGAAAAAAAGAAAAGGAAAGGAATATACATAAAATTAGTTCACAGTTTTGATCAAAATCACTGCCACTGAAAGACGGTATCACAAAGAGTACTTAGCAGGACTAATCTATTGATCCAGGTTGGGATTTTTTTTTTTCATTTGCTTTGTTCATTTTTTTAACTTTAAAACTTTGACTGTGCCAAAATAAATACCCTGTAATAAAAAGGTTAACTGAAATGTTCTTTAAACTGTCCTTGCCTCATGTAAAAATATTTATCTGGGACTACTCAGTCAGACATTCTTGACTATTGCAAGGCTTATCTGAAGCAATGGAAATGCATCAGACTTTGAGGCCTTTCAAATGCACAGGCAAGTGTTTATTGTATCTTTATTTGGCAATTTGCCTATTAAAAGGCCAGAGGTATACCCTGATAATCAGCAACTACTAGGCACCTGTCAGATATAAATATTGGCGTATTTAACATGCAATTTGCTAAAATAGGTTAATAGCCGATACAGGAAGAAAGGATGAATTTCTCAGTATATAGTGTTATCTTCTAAGATATATGAAATACGAAACACAAACAGGACAAGCTGTTGATTTTAGGACACTGAATGGTTGGAACTGTTCCCGGGTAAACTGGCAGCCTTCTATCACATACAGAAAAACATGGTAAGTTTACATAGGTGGAATCACATAGGCATATAGGGTTTTGTTTATTTGTTCTGTGGAATTATGGAATTTACACACAGAGAAAATTCTCTTTTACCCAAACTGGCTAAAAAACCCATGATGTCAAAAAGAACACAACATGTCAAGATAGTGTTTCTTAAAATCTGAAAATTATTTTTCTCCTTTCTAATTTTTTTTTAATACTATGTGCCATATATATTATTTACCTATCTCAGAAGCAGCCACTGTGATGTTGTACCAAGGTGTCTCCTCTCTGTCAAAGATCTTGGCAGTCTTAATGGTCCCAGTACTAGCATCGATGGTGAAATACTTATCTTCTTCTGTGTTATGATCAATGAAATATCTATGAAGAAACAAAACAATAAATACATACTCATTGTAGTGTGTATCATCCAAAATAACAGAAAGCTACATAAGAATATTACTTTCAAGCTTTTAAAATCATAGAAATTTTTAAAAACACCCTAAAAAAATTCCGTATTACGGAGACACCCAAAGTAACACCATATTTCATTTCTTTCGTAACGTTATGTTTCTTTTGATAGATAACAAGGTTTCCACTGTAAGTCACAAAGATATAAATTTCTAAGAGGCGATATTTTACACAGCAGTATACAATCTTGTCAAAGGTAAGATACATATATATTTTGACTAAAAAATCGTAAAATTGAAAGGTAGAAAACAGAAAGATATTAAGATATTATTCTTCTGCTTATTTGCTTGTCACTGCAAACCAGCGTGCTCAGTCGCAGTACCTGTTTTGTAGCATGTCTCTCTGACATGAAGTTGATGACATGATGACATACGCTGTTTTGAACATAACCATTACAGAGACAGCAGAAACGGCTGATTCCCAGAGCTGCAACTGACACTAGCCTAGAAGCAGAACTAAACAGCCCTGTCTAACTCCCTTGGCTTCTGGGCACTTCGCCTAGCAGAGAAAGTAAGAGCCTTGAAGTGGGTAATGGAAGCAAAGGGCGGGAACACAAAAGAAGAGATTGACAAGACATTTTTTGTCAAATCCAGAATAATTTACAACAGCTTTTAACAAATGAAACAATTACAGGCCCCTACCAAGTCAGACTGGATGAAAAAAGTAAGGAAAAAGATTCTAAGTCTTTTATATACCATAATTGTTTTTCCTCATAATTTGTAAGCCCTGCTTTCATTCTATGAAGTTTTTAATATATGGAAGCTATATATAGGTCAAAATGGTTTATCTGTCCCATCCAATTGCTCTTATCTCTACATCACCAAAAGTGTAATTGCCAGCTAATAAAAAGAGTGGTGCATATAAAGGCTGTGAAGCTCAAAAAATTAAAAGTAACTTCAGTTTATTTCTCTCACAATGTACTTGTTTAGACTGTGGAAAGTAAAAACAAAGAAGCAAACAAACATTTCATTGAATGATATATTAAAGAAAGATACGACATGTGAAAAAGCAAAGGAAATAAAGCACTAGAGGAGAAGGCAGCAATCTGAGCGAGTCACCTTAGCTGGTCAAAGGATAGGACACTCAGTGGAAAGGCCAGCTAGGACTTGATGACTTCGGTTGTATCTTCCTTGTTGGAGAGAACCTTAACCCACCTCTCCCACCTGCAAGAAGTGTTTTACATCTGCCTTACAACACGCTATTTAGGCTTGTGGCATTCAAGATTTTCTTTTCATGCTTCCAGTATTTTCAGCAATTAAAGAACTGTAGGTCAGGCACCGGAAATCAAAGCAGACAACACTAGGCTAGACAATCTTTCCTTCTTGTCTGCTCTCCTTCTTTCCTTTTGACATTGTGAAGAGTGAAACAGCTCCCTTATGATTGTGGGAGCTGTTGGAGAGACAGCAGACCTCAGTTTCCACCCATGTCATGTTTCTCTGGAATAAGGATTTAACTTGCTGTGTCCCAACTGAGCTACAGTTAGAACCTATGTGCGGTTCATTAACTACCGACATCTGAGAATACCTAATTCTAAAATACTCCAGAAGTGCTCAATACAGACAGTTTGGATTTACAAGACGGCAGCTGAAGTTGCTTCAAACAGGTAATGGACTCCAACTGTCTCCATACTGAAAGCAGACTGGCAAGATCTTGATTACGTAGGGGATGGGGAAACCATTTTTAAGCATTTACATCAGGAAGTATTTTTTTCAGAGGATATTATTTAATCTGTGTGTCCCAAATTCAATGAAAAAATAAAAACAAGTGATGTTGCCACAAAAAGAACAAAAAAAAAAATTGCTGAATTTCTAATTGCTGAATCTCTAATTGCTGAATCACAGTGGGCATTGTAGACACACTTCTGAAAGTTGGTAAGCTTCTCAGTTCTCAGTAAACTCAGATTAGTTAAAAGCAAACCCTTGACCAACATTCATCAGTCACTGATCATGACACACTGAATGTTACAGCCATCCAAGAAAATTTCTGTTGCTTTCAAGGATTATTGGAATCCTCTGAGGCCCCATTACAAAACAAACAAAAAAGGACCACACAACTATCCTGTTGGCATTATTTTATGTGGCAGTATTGGTCCAGGCTACTCACACCTCTTTCTTTAGGAATCAGGATTTGATTTTCAATTTCAGAACAACTGATTTTTCCAGTGTCTCTGCAGGTCTCAGTCTTCCACAAAGCACAGATTTTCAGGTTCTCCACGTGCTTATTTGTCACGGAAATATTGTGAAAGATTGTACCAATATCAGTGGAGAAGTTCTATCTCCTATGTGCACAGCTAGCCTTACCTTTTACTAATTACAAAAACTTTGGAGACAGAGTGGTATCAACCTCTAAAAGTCCATAAAGCTGCCATGCCATGGAGTTGTATTGACATTTGAACTTTGTACAGAAGATTGTGGTGGGGTGACCCTGGCTGGATGCCAGGTGCCCACCAAAGCTGCTCTATCACTCCCCTTCTCAACTGGACAGGGGAGAGAAAATATAACAAAAAAGCTCATGGGTCAAGATAAGGACAGGGAGATCACTCACCAGTTACCATCACAGGCAGAACAGACTCAACTTGCGGAAAATCAGTTTAATTTATTACCAGTCAAAACTCCAGCACGGGTCCCTTCCATGGGGTGCAGTCCTTCAGGAGCAGACTGCTCCAGCGTGGGTCCCCCACAGGGTCACAAGCCCTGCCAGCAAACCTGCTCCAGCGTGGGCTCCTCTCTCTCCATGGGTCCACAGGTCCTGCCAGAAGTCTGCTCCAGTGTGGGCTTCCCACGGGGTCAAAGCCTCCTTTGGGCACATCCACCTGCTCTGGCGTGGGGTCCTCCCCAGGCTGCAGGTGTATATCTGCTCCACCATGGACCTCCATGGGCTGCAGGGGCACAGCCTGCCTCACCATGGGCTGCACCACGGGCTGCAGGGGAATCTCTGCTCCGGTGCCTGGAGCACCTCCTCCCCTCCTTCTTCACTGACCTGGGTGTCTAGAGTTGTTCCTCTCACATATTCTCACTCCTGTCTTTGGCTGCAGTTTGTGTCTGATTGGAGGGGTTTTTTCCTTTCTTAAATATGTTATCCCAGAGGCGCTACCACTGTTGCTAATGGGCTCAGCCTTGGCCAGTGGTGGGTCTGTCTTGGAGCCGGCTGGCATTGGCTCCCTCAGACACGGGGGAAGCTTCTAGCAGCTTCTCACAGAAGCCACCCCTGTAGCCCCCCCGCTACCAAAACCTTGCCATGCAAACCCAATACAAGATACATGCCTCAGGTGGAAAAATTCCCTCATGCATTATACCTTATGCTTGGCTGTGTAGGAAACCAGAGCTATGACAAATATTTGGAACGTCTTGACTATACTACTGATAAGGCAGAAATAATGAAGATTTGGTTGTGTTGGGCAAGATGGGCAGTGCACATATACACAAACATCTTTTACATGATGAACTGGAATGCTTACAGAGGGAGCATAGGAAGCATAATTGTCCCTCAATTTTCTTGCAGACCTTAGCAGGACCCTTTACTGGTAGAGCTTACAATCAGGTATGCAATGAAAAAAATTTAATTCCTTCTCTCCTACTATAGCCTTGTTTTTCTTGACTGTAGGGTTCTCCTGATAATTACAAGAACTATTTGCTAAAAAAAAAAAAAAAGAAAAGCCGAAAAGCCTCACTGACCTGTTCTTACGGAATACGTAATGCAAATCCAAAACAATTTATAACACAAGAGTCTTGTCCCTGTATCGTGGTTTAACCCCAGCTAGCAACTAAGCCCCACATAGCTGCTCGCTCACTCCCCTCACAGTGGGATGGGGGAGAGAATTGGGTAAAAGTGGGTTGAGATAAAGACAGTTTAATAAGTAAAGCAAAAGCCGCACACATAAGCAAAGCAAAACAAGGAATTCATTCACTGCTTCCTGTTGGCAGGCACGTGTTCAGCCACCTCCAGGAAAGCAGGGCTCCATCACATGTAATGGTTACTTGGGGAGACAAACATCATTACTTGGAATGTCCCCTGCTTCAATTCTTCTTCCCCCAGCTTTATATGCTGAGCACGATGTCATATGGTATGGAATATCCCTTTGGTCAGTTGGGGTCAGCTGTCCCAGCTGTGTCCCCTCCCAGCTTCTTGTGCACCCCCAGCCTGCTCGCTGGTGGGGTGGGGTGAGGAGCGGAAAAGGCCTTGAATCTGTGTAAGCACTGCTCAGCAATAAAGAAAACATCCCTGTATTATCAACACTGTTTTGGTCACAAATCCAAAACAGCCCCACACTAGCTACTGTGAAGAAAATTAACTCTATCTCAGCCAAAACCAGCACACCCTGCAAACATTTATTACTGTGGACATTGTTTACTTATTATCAACATCAGGCACAGTGACTATTCTGTAAGAAAATATTGTGCTGACCCACAGAACCATAAAAATAGGGCTATTTAGTATTTGTTGACAGTAGCTTAAAAATAGAATTTCAAATTGGGCTTAAATGAGAAAGCTACTTAAAGCAGTAACAATACTCAGCTGCTTTATGTGTGTGTGATTTATAATGAATTATTACCTCACCCTCTGTAAGTAAAGTACAGAACCAAAACTGACAAATATCTGTCCCAAATATGAAGCTCGTGTAGAAAAACTGAAGTTTGATTCTGTTATGAATTATGACTACTTAACACTTCATTTTCATAGACATACAGTAAAATATTGTCTTATTTTTTAAATATGAAGAGCTTTTTCTAAATCAGTTACTTAAATGTATTCTATAGAAGCTCAAAGCTCTCCTTTTAAAGAACTCACTATTGGATGAATAATTTCAATTGTATTTTCTGTGTCATTAATCGAAATAAAGTGATCCTGAGGTAACTTATTGTACTAACACTTTTACTTCCAGTCATATTAGAATAATGAAAAATGTTTCT